CACAGACTTATTTATTATAAAGCACTGAACGAGTGTTTCAATCTAGTAGGGGATTCTTCATCATTACCCAGTCACGACCACATCAAAGACCGGATCTCACACGCATAATACCAGTTGTGTGTGTGTATACAAATAATTCATACAACAGATTTCATTGTTATGAATCTGGTTTCCCTTAAGTTTATTTAGCAGCTTGATTGAAACGGGTGACGGATGAGAAATATTCCTCAGGAAAGTGAAAACAAAATGTTTCATGAAAAAACCAATTAATTTTGAAGAATACAAAGTCACCGAAATAGAATTTTAATATTTTTCACTGTAACAGCTAATTAGGTCTGTGTTGCATCAATTACTGGTTTTTACTGAGTAGCGGAGATCGTCAACATTATACAGAAATCATACGACGGACTACATTCAAAGCGGTGTACGAAGGATAGCTGACAGACGCATTCCAAGTGAAGACCGGTGTCAGATAGACTATTTCGACTCCCCAGATGACCTGACCCTTCTATCCTGTACACACGGACAAATACAACCAATGTAACAGCAATAGGCGTCAACATACACAAAGGGAAATGCAAGATCCTCAAATGTAACAGAGAACACTAACAAAATCACACTTGATGGAGAAACTCTGGAACAGGTGGAAGCTGATGCAGAGATATGAGCGTGAGGATTGTAAAACTGAAAAGTACAAGATATTTATTTTTTAAAAAGACTTTAACAACTATGGTTCAACTATATATATACTGAGTTGTACTTTTTTTAAATCACTAGATAATCCAATCAAGACATTAAAGAAAAAACAAGTTGAGAGGAGAAATGTTTCTTTCACTTAGTTCCCTATCAGAGCTTCTATAATTCAGTATAAAATCAATATTAAACAAATCATAGTAAGTCAATTTAACAATACAGTAATTAGTCAGTCAGTAACATTATGCCTGAGAAATGAACAATTCCCTTAATCAACAATATGGATGGATAGGTGTATTAAGTATTGATTTTTCGAGTAAAATGTTATCTTGATTATTCGAGATATAATCAACTTGGAATTCTTTATCTACTACTTAAAACTGAATACTGATATTGTGTGGATAAAACACTGATTGTGCTTTGATTAAGTGAAATTCTTTCATCATCAAGTAAACGCAGGCAGACGGAAAAAGTGTATTTTCCCACAAGAAAAGAAATTAGAACAAAACTGATAGAATATCATAAATTGATGTTTATTCATCTTAATGATTCAGTATTAGATGTTATCGCTGGAAATGTTATCAAGAATAATGGTGAAAGCTGTTAGCATACAGTTAAAGAGATTGGTATTAAAATGTTGGTAGTATGTCTCAGTTTTGTCAATTGATCAAGCAATGATTAGCTTTCGCTAAACAGCTTGTATAAGATAGCTTATAAGGGAGATTCCTTGATAGACTTCTAGTTAGCCTACAGAAATTTATGTCAAGTTCTCATTTAGTCAGCCATCATCATTATTATAGAGCCAGGCATAGATGTGTGTTAGCCCAAGTTGCCATTCTACATTAGCTCAATGAGATGAACAGCAAAAGAGAACTGAATATAATGTAGTCGCTATGATAATGAGAACCAGTGAACAACGAGAACGTGGATCGAAACAACCAAGTGTAGAGGTATTATGAGACAATGGAATTCATGATCGAGTTCTATGTTGTCTAAGTCTGATTAAATGAATATCTGGTGATTTAAACACACCTTTACTAAGTCAAATTGTAGGGTGCTGATATCTATCTCATTCTTACACAGACTATCCAACCACCGCTTCATTATATTAATCATTCATTGAAAACCAAGAATATCAGGATTATGCAAGAAGTACTTTATTGGGACAAGAAATCAGTTCTAAACCATTATCAGATTCTTAAATTCTTATTTATTTATGGTGTGGAGAAATATCAACATTCAAACAATTTGGTCGAGTTGATATTGTTAGTTATGTTCACAAAAAGCATGTCTTAGAAATATATACAGACAAGTATATTTAACAGATCATTCTAATCTTTCAGAAAGTCTTACAAATATCACACTGATCCATATATTACACAATTTCTAAAAAAGAAAAAAGAATCTAAACTATGCATAAATTGATTTTAAAAATTCAGTTGATATGTTGAAAAAATAGACCAAAATGAAAATTATTATTCAAATCAATGAAACACAATTGATTGAAGGTTACAACCACATGTCCCACTACTACTGCATTGATTTAAGTATATACATATAAGAATGCAGGGAAAATATCAATGTAGTATTAATAAATGAACTAAGGATTATGATTTGAAACAATTTCAAAGAACAAAAAATTATGAATTCGCCTGATGGTTTGCTGAAAGTTTTGGATAACATGGCGGCAGATTGATAAAAATGGTGCAGAAGTATTCACTCTTTTGACTAATCCCAATCAATCTAAAATAAAAACATAGCACAAACAATATCGGGTCCCTTAGGCTAGCGCCCATATCGCATCTTGATTGAAAGAATCCGATCAGCAATAAACAAATACAATGGTCATTACTAAGTCATCAGTTATTTGCAAAAAACGTCTATTGTCACCTAATTATTACAAAATTCAATACTCCAATTTATTTGTATTAATTGCTTGAATGTTTTCGTTGATGTTATGAGCTGCAGTTAATCACTCTTTAGGCATATGTGCAGGACACTCAACTGACGAGTCCTAAATAAATGCGTATTCCTTCACTATCCACGATCCAATTCTGCTTAAATTCGATATTCTGTTCATTATAGCTAATTTCTATAAAGTGATGTTTTATGCATGAAGGAACGGATTATCAACAAATAGAAAGGATATACTTCCAGAATGTCCATACAATTTATTAACCTTTTAAGCTGTTTAGTTCAACGATTGAACACTCGCCTGTATTAATGAGTTCATAAATATTAGAACAGATAAGAATAAGGTTAATTATGAAGATGATTAGATACAACGAAAGCAACTTACAATCCTGAAGGGTGTTCACACTGTTTAGATGGAATTTAATTAACCCTCCCGTATCAATATTTTAGCAACATATTAGTGAAAATTGATCTTTTCAAGTGTACGGTGTCGACACATTCAGAATCATTAAAACGTCTCTCAGAAAGAGATTGATTGTGAATAAGATAAAGCTGAGTGCTAATAGACATAGCCACTTCCCGGTTACTCGCATCGTTGAAGGATATTTCCTCTTGTATTACTTAAGGGTTAGCAATGACTTTAATGATTTCGGAGCGTTACTTTACATCCAAAGAAATAAATGCTTTTCGATCACACATAGTCTTATTGTCAGTGGACTACGTGTTATTATTACCGCCAATACTGAAAATCTATAAGGTAGCATCATTAAAGATGCTGGTTATTTATGAGGAACACGTTGCTGTGATTAAATTATAGTACGACTTAGCCCTCGGACCTCTATCGCTGCATAATTCAAGTCAACATTCAATGAACTCACACCATAAGTTTCTTTCATCATTTTCAGATAACTTCAATGAAATATATTGTTGAAGTAATCTGTAACTATAACTAAAAATGAGAATAATTAGTTAACACTTTTACGAAAAATTATTATAATCCATTAGTAGCATGAATAGGTAGATGATAATTTACTAAGAGAAATATAATAAGACAGTAATGAATAACTAAATTGTATGATAATATTCAGTTGTATTATATATGAGTACACGAGATAATTTACAAATCCCATGACAGTGCATCAAGACAAACAATAATACATGGGACTAATAATTAAATTTTCAAGAATATTAAGATATTTCAATCTTGGTGACATCACTAACGAAAAATCAAGTTTCAACAAAAGTTACGATTACAGATGCAAAATTGAATATATATGTATGTCTATATATATAAAACAGAAAGAGATTTGTTTGTGTGTGTATTTGAAGGAGAGAGAGAGAGAGAGAAAGGCTAGTAAGTACGGCAACTAAAAATTTTGAAATTTGTAAACAAGCTATCTACTGGATGGGGAAAACTAACCTAGAGCAAATTAATTTTTTCAAAATGGTGTTAGAAGAGACTGTTAACTATTGATAAAAGCATGAGTAAATATACACAAATTCACACACATATACAAGTGTGATACAAATACAACAAATGATTAGAACTTGTACAAACCCATCTCTTTCTTATATTAACTTGAGAAAGGAATCAATAAGATAACTTTACATACATATATATAACATATAGGTGAAGAATAACAAGTTAATGAATTTTAGTAGTGAAAGGACAAACAAGAGGTAAAGAACAAATGTTAAAATTTAATGATAGACAGTAAGCAGTAAGTGCATATGACAATGTGATTTTAAATATGAAATTGATGACACGAACAAGACAAGAACCAAGTACAATATACACATTATAACAGTATGCACAACATGTGGTCCTTGAAAAGTAATGATATATATGACCAGGCAGATTATGAAGATATAAAGAAAGAATGACAGTATATCCAGCGCAAGTTTGTAAAAACAATTCAATTTTCTACAAGACAGCGACCGAAACACCATAAATTTTGGAAAATGTGAAATGAATAGGACTAAATTGTAAATAGAATATATATATATATATATATAATATGGACAACGAATGAAAAGTGTACAATCTGAAAATTAATATAAATATTCGAAGATGATGATATTTGAAAGTAAGGTTGAATAAAGAAGAAAAAAATGGTGAAAACACATGGGTTGGTGTAAAATAATTTTACCAGAATTCGTATACACATAAGGATCCAAGAAAAACCATGAAAGAAACTATCAATATACATTATACACATTTCTTTGTATATAAATATAATTACAAAAGGGATATATAGAATCCAGCGGAATCTCATTTCCGAAGGTTGAACACTGTACATGTGTATCAAGTTAAACAAACCAAACCATAATAATTAGTTTATATATATATATATATATATATATATATATATATATATATATATATATATATATATATGTATCAACAGTAACAAATTGAGAATGAAGAAACAGGCAGACAAACAGAGGGGACTAGTTGTATAACAAAATTTACATTTACATTTATATATATATATAGATAGATACAGAGTAGCTTTCACTACGTGAATAACATGAATAAGCACTGAACCAAAAGCTTAAACTAAAACTAAGAGATAATGCTTTGTTCATATCACAATGAAACCTACACACACACACACACACAAAGTTCAATGTATTCAGCCAAGAGACATTTACAAACAAATAAATAAACAAAAAATGGGGGAATTTTTAAGCTACTACTGTCTATGAAGCGATCTGTATCAGAAAACTTATGTCAAAAAGATGTGTGCTGCTTATGATGATAGTGAATAACTAGTGATGTGCAAGTAGTAGTTTAAAGCGATTGCAAACACTGAATTAATGAATACTAAAATGACATGAAGCATAACGTATTGTTGGTGTTGTGTTGTTCTTTACAATAAAGACAGGAAAAACAAAGCTAGTTAGTATACATTATGTAACGACAGAGACAAACGACTGGTTGTTGAAGAAAAATGTTCAAAAAATGAGAGAATTATAACAATCCACAAATGGTATATATATATATGAAGAGACAAAACTAAACTAATAAATGTATATAGAATATGGGAAAATAAGAAATTAATGATAAACGGTGCTCCAATTCACTTATCCCTGTTCGTCGTTACACTGTAGTAGTAGCATAAAGCAACACAGATTATTGTAGTTGCAATAGAAACAAACTCTACGTGCGATGATTAGCTTTGTCATTTGATGATTTGTGCGTAGTTGTTGTTGCTGTGGTGTTAGTAGAAGAATCGTTTTGTTGTAATGTAGTCATACCATTACTTTCAGAGTTCGAACCAGCCGATTTGCTGACTGCTGGCGTCCCACTATTATTACTATTGTTGGTGTTATTACAACTGCCATTGTTGTTACCAGTGCCGTTATTATTATTACTATTATTTGAAGTTTTAGAAACATGATTGGTGGAAGAATTATTTGAAACTGATAAATTAGTATTGTTATTATTAGTTGTATTATTATTACTGTTGTTATTATTATTATTTGCAGATGAGCTTTTTCCAGTAGTGTTATTATTCCCGGCCACATTGTTATATTTTTCCAATTTAGCTATAATATGCTTGCCATAATTAAATTTGCGTAGAACATTTTGCATAGGACGGATTCGATTAATTAATACACGACGTTGTTCAGTATCAGCTAATTCTAGCATACGTTGAACTACATAATTTGCATATTGATCTTTCATCATATCAACTAATGATGAAGAGATGTTATTAGTTGTTACTGACGAGGTGTCTCCATTAATATTCACATTAGAAATTGGATGTAAAATTTCTTCAATTAATACAGCTCTTTCAGATGGTGCAGCGTTGGCAATTGCTTTCTCCATAACATTCGATGCAAATTTATGCGAACTTAAAGCACATACACGACCACGTAGATTTTGAATAATACGTGATTTATCCTCATTTGAACCATGCTCTAAAACATGCTATCATGAAACAAGCAACAAACAAAAATATACGTATACAGATGACTATAAATATATATATTCATATTCAGAAAAACATTACAACAGTTTAGCGTAATGATCATGATGATATGAATAGACAACTGAGAAAAACGAGAGGAGGGATGGATATAATATAAGTAGTCCATTTTTCCTGTGTATTATTCAGAAAGGCAGAAACACTAAAAGCATTTGTTGAATAACATATAAAAATAACTTACAAACACTGAAAAATCATAAAATGGAGATGACGTAAAACAGTAGGACAGAGTAGTTATGATACTAAACGAGTAGATAGTAGACTACTCACCCCATGGAAGAACGAAGTGTACAAAAAGTAAGCTCACAATTTAAATTTCCTTTTCCTCTGTTATTGAGAGACAAGTAAAATCATACTATTCTATCATTCATTAAAACGATCATATATACTTTCCTAAATATCTTTAAAAGGTAGGAGTGATATTGTCAAGAAACCACAGTTGCTAAATCCGACTTAAAAAAGAATCCATAACTATTAAGAAAACAAATTCATCAACGCTATTCCTTAATCAAACTGTTTCACAAACCAAACAACTGTAAACTTAGAAAGCTACTACGATTTTCATGACCATTATAAATATTGCTTCCCAACAGTTTCAGGTATCTGTGTGGTTGTGTCACAGAAAGATGTAGTGCTATTTAAATTGTAAAAAGTCTGGATAGTTGCTTTGTTCATTAAAAACATTATATTTACATACTGACGTCTGGCAGGGTAAATGCAAGTGGTTTTAACAAGCGTGAAATAGTAGTTAACTAGAAGTAGTAATCTAGTAAAATGCTAAGTTATTTATGGTAGATTAGTAGTTACAGTAAACAACCTCCAACCACTATGTTCTGAAACCGCATTATTTATCACATTTTAAATGTTGACTAAGGTACTAGTGCTAGTATGAAATAAATAAACGGACAATACTGTTTGTGTTATATCCTAGCAAAGATATGAGTACGGGTAACTTCCGGAACCTATTAATGGACTATTATTCTATATGTATTCTTATTTTTTAACTATTGAGTAACTAGATTGTGTGTATCTATATTCATATTATTATAAGCTTCATTTTGACCTATAGATTATTATTATATGATTTACTGTCCATAAATTATATTCAGTTTACTGATTATTGTATTCCACGTCTACAGCCACATTTAGCCTGATCTTATACAAATATTATTTACTATTTTATGGTGTGATGCGGTCTGTCTGTCTGGTATATAGACCGAGTATCCTTGAAATAAACGATTCGCATAGCAGAAGCTGTAATTGGTGCTCTGGACTCAATTGGAAGGGCTAGGTGGACAAAGGACCAATAAGGACGCTAGACTGTTCATACCAGTCGAACGTCATTGTTTTCGAACAGTGTTAAGATTGGAAAAGTTGTGTTCCGATTGGTGGATAATTCACGTGATAAAAGGCCGGACATAAGACCATAAAAAATTGGTATATGGCCTTGTTCTTTTTTTTAAATTCATAACAGTTTGTACATTTTAATGTCTATTATAGGTAGGGAGTTGTAAAAGATTGATTTAATCGATACGAAAACGAATAAATTATATATGGTTTAACATAATAACGTTATTGAAGTCTCACTTGAATGACGTAGTTGCCGTACTGATCTTTGACTAAATGTTCCACACCTTTGTGTAGTTCATCAAGAATAGGACGTGTTTGTTCCGGTAGGCAATGTTCCAAAATGCGCTGAATAACTCGACAACCATAGGGATGCGATGAAAGTAAAACCACCTTAACAAAGTATAACAGAGAAATAATAATCAGGTATATTTTTTATTTGACGATAGAGGTTTCATCCTGAAAATACCGCTTCATCAATGGTCGCAGATGTCGGTAAAGTGAGGAGCATATTCTTAGTGATATGAGGAAGTTTTTCTAATCAAAATCAACCTGTATTATTCAGAGATAAGTTAATGAACCTTTTCTTCTTAAGGTTCTAATATATCTTAACATCGACCGGCTAGGGGGAATACCAGTATGCAAACTTCTCAGGAGAGAGGTCATAACCTAGGCTATTCTACATGATACTGTAAGATCAGACAGATCATATGCTGTCTTAAGGTTGCATGGTATGTAAAAGATGGGAGAATAATAAGCAAAATGTTCATGAAACCAAAATCATCGCCCACATTTTTGTGCCAGAATCAGTTCAGTAACATGTATAAGTAAGGGGTGTGAACATCATGATTCAGCCTATGAGAGGTAAAATTTCCTACGCGTCCTTAGTCTTTCTATTGTGAATAGTTGTTTACATAATTATCAAAAACTGTCTGCTATGATTGCGTCGGAGAGAAGATCATGAAAGATGGCCAATGCAGAAAATAGTTATAGGTGAATGTCAGTTCTTAGAGAGTATTTCATACTTTTAAGGCATGAAAATTTAGTCAGTCTTGTGCACAAAAACGTTATCTTCGCTAAAAAGGGATTTGTCATTAGTATCATTACGTTTAAAAACTCAATTATTGCATGGAAAAAATGCTGTGAAATGGAGACGGATATGAGAAGAATGAACAGCGATTGGATAGAAGTAGAAAAGAAGGCCCAGGACAGAGTGAGTTGGAGAATGGCGGTCGGGAACCTATGTTCTATTGGGGGTAACAGACATAAGTAAGTAAAGTAAGCATTACACAAGCTTGGGGACATCTGGACTCAGTAGTTAAATGGATAATGCAATGGCGTTTGAAGCGAAAGATACTGGGTTCGAGTCCTGGAGAGAATATTAACTCCGGAATGCAGGTACATCCAGCTAACAAGTCCCAAATAGGATGAAACCCGCATCCCAAGTACCACTCCAAGCCACCATCCACCTCGACTCACAATGCTCGTGACTTAAGGCAATATCGAGGCAATGAGCACAGGATACACATATGTGAATAAGTAACTGGTTCAGAAACTATCAAATATGTAAAATGTGAAAGCGGTTATTACACTGATTTCGATAATAGATTTACAAACTTAGCTGGGACGGCGGTATGTAGCAATAACATGTATAAACCGTTATATATATATATATATAAACTCAAATTTGAATTATATGCTTAAGCTTTCCTCAGAGCGTAATATTCGGCAAATGTTTACATTTAAAATGACAACGGAAGCCACCAAGCCGTAGTCTTTTGAAAATCATGAGATTTTAAAAGATAATAGGGAATCCCACTTTTCAAGTTACTGAAGCCTGATAGAATAGTTTCATGACACTAATTAGTTCAAATATAGTGACACATTCCCACTTCAGAGTCGTGATTTGGAAAATTGAATTAAAACTAGTAGGTTATCATTGAAATACCGCTAACTTTATCTTAGTTTGATCAGATCTTATCTCATAGGCTTAACACGTTACTTATTGCAACAAAAGCTAACATTTAGCTAGTGAGTTTATAATTGCTATCACAACTAAATGTTCTATTTTATTTACCAAGTACTACCGTTATAACACAGTACGATATATTGATAAACCATATATTATGTTTGCTGAAGTTATTTCTTTAAAAAGGTTGTTCAGCAGCTCAAAACCCTGTGGTGAGTAAAGATAGGAGAAAAAGCTATACGAAATTTTACAGCCTATAACTCAGTGTTTACAAGCGACTTAAAGATACATTTTTTAAATTTCTATTAATAAGTCCGTTTTAGTCAACGTAAGACTTGCCATAAATGTACATTAGTTCAATTTGTCACACTATAACATGGTGAATATGAAATCGATAAGGTAAAATGATCAACACCCTTTACTACTTCAATCTTTAACGCCACATTACGGGTTGACCATAATCATTTCTTAAGCAACACGTTGGGTTTGAGGAATGAGAAACAAACCTCAAACATTTTGAAGTGCATTTAACCGAATATAAACCAGGTAGTCATCAAGGCAAGAAATAAACCAAAAATAACTTTTTCTGTATTGTGAAACGGATCGGAAACGAAAAATACTGAGGGGGAAACATACTTGACCACGAAAAGCTGAAATAATAAAATCAAGTTCTGAAGGTGGAACACATTCAATGCATTTTTGAATAACGTGATTCCCGTTTTGATCTTTTACACACCGTGTTACAAATGGTCTCAGTTCACCAACTATGTGTATTTTTGCCTCGGCTGGTACAGATTCTAATGCTTTTTGTATAACACGACAACCATACATTTGAGTAGCGAACTCAACGACGTGACCTTGTAAACGTTGAGAGAGCAGCTAAAATAAGAAAAGTTGTGATTAGGAAGCTAACTCTGAAAAAAATTAATAATCAAATTGAATTATATTTACACTCCAATAAAAATAACTCTCCTATAGGTGTTCCCGGTATATATATATATATATATATATATATATATATATATATATATATGATCGATGTTCTAATCGGTAACCAAGTACAAGTTTATACCTTCGCCAATGAGATCACAAGTTATATGGTTTTTGTTATTAAGTGTTTTTTTAAGGGATAGCCTCGACATTTTTAAAAAAAATTTATATTCTCGCAGAGGCCTTTGTCACTAACTGATTGGCCATTGTTACTTTTAGTTTATTAAATTGGTTGGGTCCCAAGGTCATTGCATGTTACCATACAAACAGAGTCGTTCCATTTCAATTTCCGATTCTATCGAAAACATGAAACGGTCCTGAAAATCAGTTCTTCTGTATCGATATTCGGAGTGTGAATTATTAAAACTGCAGTGTTGTCGTCGTATGTTAGATGTCTGGTCATTTATCGAGTTTCCATTAGTTTGGTCCGTGTCCCAAGATTCTCCATTATTATAATTATAAGATTTCCGTAGGATCAAATCATGATGGAATTATGAAACTTAATAACATTCATTTTCGCACCATACATTTTCTACATCCATTGATGCGATTCATATGTCTAAATGGTAGGAGTAAATTAAACACTATTCAAGTCTATGAAAAAACAGTCACTGAAAATCAGATGTTCTTGATCACTACATTATTGTTATGTGGAAAGAACTGCAATTGTCCTTTAATTGTAGGACAAAAATAAAACAAGAACAATAAAGAGTAGTTAATTGCAACTTATCAACTACTCGGAAAAAAGGGTTGTAACCACTCATCATTAGAGAACTTACAAAAAACTGTTGATTTAGCTCAGAGACATAGAGGTAGATTGGAAAAAGGGCAAGAAATTAGAAATAATTCAGATAATCCATTCACATGGTTGATTACTTATAGAAAAGGTATGTGAAGAACAAGAGGAAACAGAGGAATATGAAGGCAGGACGATACTAGAATTAAGCCATTGATGTAATTCAAACTAAAAAATTTTATAATCTAGGCTGACTGGATAAAATAAGCACAGATCGAATGATAATACAAATGAAAGGGGCTTTTTAAATAGATGTTATTAAGTGAACCAAGAAATAGTGAATGTGTTAGTAAAACAAACATGATTAATGCAGATAACAAATAAAAATTGCATATTATCAAATTACTGGCAAAATGCTTGGTGGAACAACCGAACTTAATATTTAACTTCTGAATAATGAATATGACTACATAAAAAAGAATAATAACGAAATAAATCTCACTTCTTTTTGCTCTTTTGTTCCAAATTCAAAAAACTTTTGTATCACATAGTTGCCAAATACATCAGTCATTAGCTTTCCAGAATGTGGTAGTATTTCATTAAAGACTGAATTTTTTTCAGCGGTAGTAGCGGTCTCTAATTTCTGTTGTATAAATCGAGATCCATGTTGGTCACGGGCGAATTCGACCATATGATCACGTAACTCTGACAGATGCATGTGTTGGAACCGTGCACTTGAATTTCGAAAATCTTCCAAAAGTTGACTTCGGCTAGACACAGTGGTAACAACGAGTGGAGTAGATGTAGTAATGTTCACACCTGAAAGTAATATAAATATGTCGTGAATGCGACCAAATAGATGTTTAGCATTTTAGTATACAATAATTAAGACTGATAAACAATAAAATTCAGTAAATAACTATAAAGTTGTTATATGCCTCTGATCAAACTTACCAACAACCGAACTAGGCCTTGATGAAGCAGTACCAGATAAAGTCAAAGGAAGTGGTGAAAGTAAAGGGGCTGGAAGTCGCTGGTTGATATTTTGGTGTGATTGAAGAGCAGCAGCATAATTTGGACTTTGTTGAACAGTTTGAGAATGTACGGCAGATAGTAGACCAGGACTACGACCAGTAACTACAGGCATAAGGGGTGGTGGAACTGGAGCTCTAGTTCCTAAGAGGGCCGGATGGTTCACTCCAGTAGGTCGAAGATTAGGGTTGGGACCCATGCCAGGTGGTGGGGTAGCAGTAACAGCCACACCCGATGCAGCAGCAAAGGCGGCAGCAAAAGCACGATTTTTATGCATCGATGCTATAAAATAAATTATCAATATTCAGCATTAGCTAGCTAATGGAAAAAGTTTTCATTAAAGCGCGGTTTAAGATGCTACGAATTTTCGTTGAATTGGCCTAGGTTTAAGCCACATTTATGCAACTTGCGAAAGACGTGTAAGTAAGTGTACTAGACTAACAGTTATGCCTAATTTACAAGAACTAATGATACTCGTTACTTAAGCTGGATTATATAAAAAAAGTTTGCACAGATACAGAACAAAGTCACTTCTGGTCTGTATACATTTTAGTTAATCAGTCAGTCAAAATCAACATAGACTATGGCACAAATGCGTGCTAGCCCAAACACGTATCTCATTGCAATGTATGTCAACGAAATATAATCCTTTCTATCTGAACAAAAAAGTCAAGTATTGAAAAATCAACACATTTGAAAAAAATACGCCGTTAGAAATCATGTGTAAATCTCAACTGTTTTCCATGAAATAATCATATAAAAGTATACAGCACATAGTAGTGATGCCAGTCTGTTTGATTTGGGCACCCGGGTAGTATTCCAGCCCTCACACAAACCGAATGACAAAGTGTAACACATTGTTTATTTGGTGCCTCCTCGTACCAATGTTTATGTGTTTAAATAAACAGTCAGTTCATTATGAGGAACGTAGAACCTAGGACATATGGACATTAGTCCAAGTTGCAAAATAATAACATAGTCAGATAAAATTCCCGAGATATACTGCAGTAATCGAAGTAGTAACAGTGTTACCGGTAGCATAAATGATTCGGCATACAGGACATAATTCGAGTAGAAAAAATAAACTTGAGAGATTAGGCGTACAAGATACCTTCAAAACTTGGGGTTTAAAGGGAAACAAAAAGTAACTATGTCCGTAACATTGCGCCCGATTTTGAGTCATGCCACCCGACATCTCCAACCACTGATTACAATAATCGTGAGAACCACAGACTGGTGGCATATGGCCCAGCATAATGGTCAATGACCATATGGACTGATGCCACGTCTTGGTTTGACCGCCTCTATATTTCTTCCAACGTCATTCAACGTAGATAGTGATTGGGGATAGGTTATGTCTCCCAATCAAGTAGACTTTCATATACATAAAAAATAAAGGTGATTGAGTCCATTAGTGTTATTTTACATTCAACTTAACGAGCTCCAGGCTGCAAGTGGTCAAAATTGTGATAATAAAAGAATTAAAAAGTTGTAACAGTATAAACAACTAAAAGTGCAAACCAACGAAATAGTTTAATTTACCATCGAAATTGAATGGATATGGTGTGGCTGATGAGAACCCAGTTGAAACAGATAAAGGAGGTCTTTGAAGTCCTGATGGTGATGTTGGCGAAATATGCATGCTAACGGCTAAAGCTCCAGGGGGTTGCGAAATGGGCATGCGACTGTAACTAGATACATCTCCAGCCACTGAGTTTGGACTACCACTTGCTTCCGGGTGTAGAAGACCAACTGGTGGTAGTAGATTTATTCCCTAAAAGATAAAAAGTGAAACTATGACACATACACACACAGATACTAAGTATCAAATGAATAATAGAAAAAAAGTTTTAATTTTCACCAAAAAAATTATTACAACAACAAACAATGCTCACATTAGGTATCGAAAAGTTGCCCGGATTTAATCCACCAACAACTGAACCGGAAGAATACAAGCCTCCAAAATAATTAGATGGATTTGTGACGATACTAGATGTGAACGGAGAAACTAGGGGTGTCGACGAAGTGACAGTTGGAGCAATACAATTTGAAGAGTTATTTGATACAACGCTACCACCACTAAGAGCAGTGCTATGTCGTTGTTGTTGTGCAGCATTCATTAACTGTTGTTGAGCTTGGAAAAAAGCAAAAGCTCCGGCAGCAAGACGAGATTGATCTACGATATTATTGCCATTTGCAGATGGTGTAATATTATCAATAACTGTATTCGGAGTCGATGATACAACACAGCCTGGATTGTTTGCCATACCATTAGCTAATTGTTGCATGATCATAAATGCAACATGATTCCATTGTGGTGCTGAAATGAAATCAGAAATACTCTTCAAAGCAAAAAAATCTGTGCTACCGACAAATAGTGAAATATTAAACTGATTTGATATGCAAAAAGACAGCAAATGACTGAGGATAGCACTTTGATAGGTGAACACTACTGACAGTAATTGCGAGTATGGTATTAGGTTTTTAACTTAGATTCAATTCAGCCCACTTGTTCACGAATAATTAAATAATAATATTTTCCAAGGCAAGGATTCAGTGATTATGGATTGATACTTTTTTTCAAGAAAAGCTAGTAATTGTGATATTGAGGCAGTGCGCTTTAAGACTAAAACTTCTGCAAACAATTTTATACTGGTTTAAAATAGACCTTGATAAAAAGAAATAAGTATTTTGAGAGAGCTATAAGGTGATGGGAAAAATTAAAGTTTCGATTAGTTAGAATTCTTTTAGAATTCTTTTTTGAAAAGACTAGCATTTGCAAGAACGTTTACTGTTTAATTACCTTGTATATTTTGCTGAAATTTATGTGGATTTTTGGCTTAACTAACTATGTTCTATTTCCATTTCGTACGCAGGGTCGTAATACTTTTGGAGTAATATTTTTTGGTACATTATTTCATTTCATCTTCACTACATTGGCCAGACGCTTATTAAGTGTTTCGTAATAACGAGTGATGCGTTAGTTGGTGCTATTCAGCAATAAAAGTAAATATTTGCATGCTGGAGAAGAGGGACCTTGCAACTAAATATCTTGTGCAATGCCTAGCGAAAAAATATTTGCTTTCTCAAAATAAATTAAGTAGAGCATGATAAACAAAAGAGATTTACGACCCAGTGTTTGTAATCGTAGCATTTAATTCAACAATATATCATCATCTATGATTATACTGCTTTTGTAGTTCACTTGAAAGTAACTTTAGTGCAGGATTCTTTCTAAGTAGTTCTCAAACATTATGCAGTAAGTTCTTTCGATTGATAAACATATACTGAATGTTATTTTACTCAATATTGCGTACAGTTTGGTGTCAGTGTTATAGAGTGCATCTGTAAAACTCAATATATGTTGTAACTGGGGCACGCGGAGTAAACTATTGTTAATGACACTAAAGACTTCATTATGAATTTAGTTTACAAAACAGGATAATTGTATCCTAATGGTTTTATGCATCATAATATTGTATTACTGTATTAATGAATCATTATTTTAAAGTCCTTGAACTGATAACAATCAAAGTAGGTAATTTTGTCACAAACTGCCTTCAGCTGATGAACACAATTGAAAATTAGAAAGTACTAGATAGTATTTTTCTCATAAATTATGAATTGTCAGTTGTGCGTACCCAATACCTTACCAACGGACTGAGTTTCGATCTAAGTAAAAACAGCTATATTGTGGGTTTTAACTTTTACAACTGAAGTCAATGCAAGATGAACACCATCATCAGAATGAAAAATAAACTGCAAAAACTCTGATCTCAATATAAAAAGTAACTAGTTTAAATTAGGAGATACTAAACAATAGTCACGGCAAGTATAGATTACAATGTAAAAAGCAAACAGTAAAAAGAAAAAAAGTCAAACCTTGTGAAAGTGGTGGAGGAATTTGACTATTATTACTGTTATTATTATTAGCTGCACCTCCTTGTGACATAAAAAGTGTCATAGCCATAGCCATTGATTGTGGATCCATCATATTTAGTTGAGATGTGGGCGGCATATTATAACCAAATGGAAAATTATTATTGTTTACAACAGTGGATTCACAAAGTGGATTCCCTTCGAAATTTCCTGGTGGTAACTGAGAAACTGAAGATGTGGCTGATGCGGCTGCAGCTGATGGTAAAGTTGGTGTAGCACAATTACTCGATGAAGGTGAACTAACAGCACACAAGCCAGGTGGCGGCAAAATACCTGGATATTTTGTATAAATATCATTCATAATGTGAGCCTCACTTAGCTGTAGTAAATGAATAAAAATCAATAATTGCGTTATTGAGTGGAAGTCAAACAGAGTTATTCCAGAATTAATACTAGATTCTTCTGTAAACAAGTGAGTAATATAATTTTGAACAATCAGAGTGAGTGCAAGGTGAGTCAGTCTTACGCAAAGTGGAACTTGACACACGTACGTGTACAACTTTTTAAGTTGTCACACATCATCAGTACAGTGAAATGAAATTATCAGGACAAATATCACAGTAGTAGTACAGGTAGTGACACAACATTACTTTCCACAGAAGATATCACACATCAAACATACGATTCAACAAGGAAATGTCAATCACTGAAGTAAACAATTCTATAAGATAATTTGCAAACATACCATCTAAGGGAACACAAACAGTGATTGCACTTCATCCATTCACAACGATTCTCAACAATCTCAATCAAACTCTCTAATCATTGCTGCTTACGATAATCATCCAAATCCTAATCACGTAGCCTCCAACTATCTACATGGTTCATTCAAACAGGTAGTACATTCATACACTGATGTCAGGTCTTGGTTTGTCCACACAACCCTACTTTCCTCCCAAACTGCTCTCATATCAAACACTATCGATCACTCAGTGAACACACGTCACACATCTCCGGAACATCTCAGTCGATAAACGTTCATTATCTCATTAGTTTGTTTACCATTCTTATCTACTTCACTTAATCTAAACTCAAAATTAATCACTCCATAGTCCCAATATATACGAGCAACGCTTCGAAGGCATCAATGATCACATACTAGTAACTTATATTCTCAAAGGCTGTGTTTCACCATCATAAATTAGAACTGAGAGAAGTGTTGTGCAGTTTGCATGCTATTAGGTTGGTATACAGATATTTCACCTACGCCACAAGTGGCGTAAGTTGGTGAACGTCAACCAAGCTTTCTGAATCCGTTTCCAGATTTCATTAGGCACAGGTTGACCAGGGCTGAGACTTACAAGGTAAGTGAGCAATACACACACACACAACCACTTCATTCTCTATCGTTAGTTAAGGCATTAACGTAGATTAGTCCTGAAACAATGTTTGCATCTAAAAAGAGAGCACTGTTGAATAAGGTAATTCTTTAATTTTGTTTACGTTTTAATCAAATAAGACTATATCATCTGCGTATCCTAAATCAACGAATCTGATAAGTCAAACGATGAGGTTATTTGTAAAAGAATGTCTATGAAAATGTTAGGTGAAAATGGGAAAAGCTGATAACCCTGACGAATGAAATATGAACATAGAAATCAAGCACTCATGTGTTTGACAATTAGTAAATGGTTTTTCTGCTGATCTTAGTCTATTGAGAAAACAAACATTTCATCACAATCTGTACAGAGCTCCCGAGTTATTTGCCTCAAAATTGTTTCACAGGTGTATTATACATGACAAATACAACACTTTCTGAATCTAATGAATCCGATCAATGAAAACAATAGAATGATAGCAATAATAAACGGCGCCATGAAGTCCACAACTTATAGCTGAGTTCATTAAACTATCAGGAACTAAACACCACTCGTTGTTAAGATCAATAACCAATAGTAAAACAACCATAAAAATGCTTCAAATACATGTTTGAATGTTAATTGACAGTAGCCTAATTGTTTAAGTAGCTGTTTGACGTGTGAAACAAGCATTCCAAATCTAGTTTATATTAAGTGTTAAGGAAATGAGCATTAAAAACAGAAGGGATTGGTAAGTATAAAACATGAATACCTGAAAGGGTGGTCCAAAAGCAGAACCTTGACCACCGACAAAGGAACCAGGAATTTGAAGAGGTGTTGATGATGCTGGTAAAGTAGTGATGTTTGCTGAAGGTGTGATAAGTCCTGAACACTCAGACTCAGCTGACTGACCGAAAAGAAACAGTGGAGGAATAGCAAGCAATGAATTTGGCATGGCTGTACTTGAAGGCAAAGGGAACAGATTTGATGTAATGGTATCGGACATGGAATTCAAATCAGAATTGGACACTGATGAGCCACGAAAAGCAGTCGAACGAGGATTGATCAAAGTAGAATTAGGTTGTGCAAACAACGAGGCGTTTGATCTAGGCATTGTAACGTCATTATATGCGTCAGACTGATCTTGAAGAACTCGGTGTGAATGTTGTAAGGTATCGATGTCATTAGATTCTGATACGAGGCCCATTGCAGACCCGAAAAGAATGGTAGGTTGCGTGCTCAGAGGCGATGATGCTGAAATTGACATAGATGATGTAACGTTGTGTATGGATGATGACCACAGACCTGAAGGTGCATGAGCTCCAAACTCTGGTGCATTTGAATGGTTTATACCATCATTTTCTGAGTTGTTATACGGTAAGTTAATCGGTTCGGAGTCTTTACATTCGGGAAACAAATCACGCCATGAAGTTGTATTCTACAACAAAAAGCAACAATGGGAATTCATCTTTATTCGATATGTGTGGAAAAGTGTCATTCCTTTTTATTAGCACACCTAATTATATAACCACTAAATTATCAAAATCAGTTATCACTTCTATAGCAATTAAACGACAGATTTCAGCTTTTTTATAAATCGAATGCTAGAGTACTCATTGTAATAAATTTTGCCAGTTATAACACTTTCGACGTTTTAATTGACACGGAATATAAGTGTAATATTTGTGTAAGAGAAAAATTGAATATAGACATGGTTAGACACGTAACTTATTTATTAAGTACAGAATTGTGTATTCGGCTTTCAGCCACATTTGTTAGTGATAGTGAAACAAGACTGTTCAAACCAAAAAAGGTGAAGTGTGACTAGAACTTGTGATCTAATTAACAACTTAACCACTACAAGATTACTATTCTATCGTTGGGACTGTATCTCCTCACGATGCTCCACTGCCTTGTGGATCAGACCTTTAGGTCAAAGGCTCCTCGTGTGGCCCCCTAAGAAAACCACCTGCTTCAGTTTGGGCACCTGGGCAGTATCACAGCCCTCACACAAATCAAATGAGATTTGTGTGGTGCATATATATCTGGTGTCCCTTTGTACCAATATTTATGTGTTTAAATAAATAAATAAATTCTAATGAAAGTGAATGTCAGGACGAACAGTTGGGTAGAGAACACAACCTAAATAGATTCAGAAACGAAACCGATCAGGTTAGTCTGCGTTACTAATAGTGGATTTCAGATTAGGTTGGAAGTATTTTGCATTGTAGCCTATACACCTCAACTTTCTTGAGAAACATTCTGTTCTTCCAAGTTACATGTACTTAGGGTCTGAACTAGACGTATATTAAGTACGCTACTGCTATTCGTTTCTCACAATCACAATGCTTTGATGCCAAAAACATTTGTTGATTCATAATTTCCTGACTTGATTTCTCTCTGAACATATGGATGAGGAACTAGTATTACATAAATAAACCACTGAGAACGAACTAAATTAATTATAGTAAGCGTGATTGTGCATTAAAAACTCAATGGACTAAAGGCATCCCAATATTGGAGCCATAAATTAAAAATAAGACACTTATTCACGTCTATCTTTTTTCAAAAATTCTTCAGAAGACCATTAACAGTGATTCATTAGTATTTGCAAGAGCAGGTACAGAAAAAATACAATATTTACCTACAAACAGATTATATACATAAAACTTTTAAAATAGACTACTAACCGCTAAACCACAAGCTGTATCCCAATTCCATGGAAGCACTTCATTTTCGGCTCCATTATCAATTCCTAAACCTAAATGGTTATGATTATCTTGTTCTTCCGGACAATCATTTCCGGTGGTAGCGCAATTTCCTACGGTTGTATTTGCTGTGACTGGATCCTGTGAAGGATCAGGTAACCAAACGTGATGTGAATTGTTTTGGCGAGGTTCCCAGATAGATAACAAATCAAATGGTGCCATATTAGCGTTTTCTTGCGAGTGCTGGTTCTCTAACCTTCCGGGGACAGCTGATCCATTGGAGGCAGTGAGGTGCCCAAGCTGTCCAGGTAGAGGAGTTATGTCCCCAGTGACTCCACTACCCGCAAACGAATGAGCCTCTCCACTGGCTGCGCTATTGTAATTTACTCCGTTGGCACTGAAATTGCCTGAACCAACACTACAATGTGAGTCTCCGAAACAAGAAAGCAGCCCAGAACTGCAATTGCTTCCCCCAGCAGTATCACTTCCAGGTGTTGTACTTATCCGGCGCTCTGCACCAACAGCCCATATCTGGTTAGCCCGAGAAGAACCGATTATGGATAGATTGTGAAAGTGGTGGGGCAAGTCAGAACTACAATCATCAATGTTCTCTTTTGTTTGCATATCTAAGCATACACCCGTAGAATTAGCACAGTTGGCGGCTATATCAAGTGCATCATCATCGGTTAGACAGAGTGCATCAGGGAGTTGAGAAGCGCCATCTTGAAAAACAGACAAATTGAGATCAGGCTAGAAAAAAGGTAAAATTAAGGGAAAAGGGAATAAAAAATTAATATTTGATCGTAGGAGCAGCAATTACGACACTGTACATGGACTGATATGTCACACACGACTTTTGGAAGTGTATAAATAAACACTTTCGAATGAACAGAAAGTATTTTAAAGGTTAAGTCCGATTTAGAGAGTGCTGGGCTTGTGAAATCCTTAAAATGAGGAATGATTAGGTGTGCTTGACTAAAATTAGTTGTAAGACACAAAGGTAAACTACCATAGTCTATAAGAACTGATCAGTGACAGTCGCCATAACCGAATGGTAAATAGTCAACATTCGATACTCTTATGCCTAACTCGAAATATCTTGTCGAAAAAATGATACGTGGTAGTTGGGTTTCTGCAGTTATTCATTAATTACAAACAGTTGGGTACAATTAGGAAGCGAAATACTGAAGCAGTATTAGTGTTGGTAATACTAGGAGATCAAACAGTTGTCCAGTACATTATAATTTTGAATTAGCTTTTACAATCTTCCATACCTTTATAATAATCATGTACTCACTGGTGACTAACTACAAAATAGATTCGGCAAGTTCAAGTGGAAAATAGTGTCCAATACAGTTCGACTATGTCCAGTACCATGATTAGAGAGTAAAAATATAACACGTGGTACAATTTGACGTTATAGATGTACGGAGTCGATTTCTACCAGAACTAACCAATAAAGAGCTGAACGCAACTACTCCACCGCAGCCAGTTTTGGATCACGTTACCTAACATTACGAACCGTTGGTAGTTATTGAGTGGATCTTTGTCACAAAGTCTAGTCATAGGCACGAATAGGGCCGATGGTCTTGAAATACCCACCCATCCTACTTACTCCTACGTGCACCAACAATGAATGTCGGGGTTAGCGATGACTGGGTGTACATAATACGTGTCCCGACTATTTCAGTCGAAGAATGTATTACACTGAATAGTCGACTTCCCATTCTAATATTTTACTTTACACCTGATATTACCATTACTCCCTCGATGGTTTCATCAAGCACAAGGAAATCTTTGAGGACATCTGTAGTTAAATGCTTCCATCTTACGCATGTCATTACTTAAGAAGAACGTATATCGTAGTGACAGAATCTACAACTGCATAGTAACCTCATACGCTTCACAAGTGAAGCAAGCTCGCAAGAGCCAAGCACGTTTTTGTACAGGTCTTAGGATTTTGTCACCCAACAACCACCGATGCTAGGACTTCCATGATAAGTGAAGTAGTTAACGTGATCAACTATCTTTCTGTTTGAAAACAGGTAATGGCATAGACCAGTGCTGAAGCAAAATCTTATCTTCGGGAGAGGTACACGGCCTAAATGTGAATGGGATTTTACCTCGAGCATTTCAGTCTGTGTGATTATTAAGGTGAACAATCTAGACACGATCAGACTGATTCCTATGTGCTAATCACAAGTATCCCTGGCCTTTCATAGTAATTGGAACGATTAGCAGTCGAAATCACTGGAATGCAGTTACATTCGAGGCTCAAACTCCTACTAATAACTAAGTCAATCTGTAAAACCTGAAAATCCACTCGAAAACCTATGGAGTCAGCCTCGATCCAAATCAATTATAGCTGTTTCAATATTACTGAGTTGGAGATCTGATGTCGATCTCCGATTCAGGGCATTGGTAAGAAGTTGCCAGCTGTGGGGTAGCAGTAGGGTTTTGAATTTCCCTTTAGTCTTCCGCTCACAGTTTCGGTCACCTGTTTTAAAACTAGATCAAGATTTCATCCTTCTCAGAGATATTTTCGCAACCGGAAAAATTTTTTAGCCTCAAATCCCTTTAATAAGTCCATCATTACCTATAATTGCTGACCTGTACATTTATTGCCACTACTGAGTAAGCACTTTGATAGCCAACATTCAAGTTTCCCTTACTTCTTATTGCGTTCGTAGCATACTAGGATGTTCCTCCGAATCTATTAATCTAGCAGAAGCTTTCGGAATCGTGTCCTTTTCCGATCTACTGATTTAGGTTGCTAACAGCCATCACTGCTGCCTTTACTATGAATTGAAGATAATATCAGAATGCTTTACGAAGAATAATCCCTTGATCGTTGACTAAGCGCTTAGTTAGTTCTATTTTGGGGATATTTGAGATCAGTTTGTATCCCCTGGATCCAATATGGAGCAGAAAAACTCATAGTTGGAGTTCAGAAATGGATTCTAGAAGGATCGGTAGTGATATTGATGCTACTGAACGGTGAAAAATAGCGATATGGTCCATCTGCCCATTGTTGTGACCTCAAAAGTAGCTAGTTTTACAATCTCTTTTTACGTACTTAAACTTACTAAGAATAAACCGCCGCCTGAACAGTTTTAACATCCGGACTATGAGACCTGTGTATACCGATATATATATATAGTAAAGATAAACAACAAAATACCTTTCTCATTACGTTCAAAAATTAAAACGCTGAGGGTACTTTGAAGGAAGATTTAACTGCATGATTCAGTCAGTCAGTCAACTACAACGTAGGACCAGGCACACATATGCATCAGTCCAAGTTGCCATAACTCGTTAGCACAACAACATGAACACCGAATTCATAGAAGTAGTTAATTTAGTGGTGGTAGTATATAAAAGAAAGGTTGTATATAAGGATATAGTATAGGAAGATAGACAGATATGAAGCAATTTTAATCTCACAGTTTAACAGAAGACAAAGAGTGTATAAATTCTGAGCCGTGTCACACACAGTATCCAACCATTGGTTACGATAGTCACGTGGACCCCAACCAAGTAGTCTGCATCTACCAACATGACACATACTGGAAGTTAATGACTTCAAGCTCTGATGCCACGTTTTGGTTTGGCCGCCCCTAACTCTCTTCCAACCATCCCCTACACTAGTCAGCATAGCGCGTCGTGGTAATCGGTGTTCAGGCATACGTAACACGTGGCCTAACCATCTCAGTCGATGAAGATTCATCACCTCATCAACTGATTTACCATCGTTCCCTAATACCCTGCGACTAACTTCACTATTACTTACCCGGTTATCCCAGCAGATGCGAGCAATATTTCTAAGGCATCTGTGGTCAAATACTAGTAACCTACGAGTATCTTCTACTCTTAATGGCCATGTTTCACAGCCGTAAAGTAGAACAGAACGAACTGCTGAACAGTATACTCGTCCCTTAATTGATAGACGGATATCTCGTCTTCGCCATAAGTGACGTAAGTTGGCAAAAGCCAAACGAGCTTTCTGAATCCGTGCTGAGATTTCGTCAGACACCAACCCATTAGGGCTGATCAGACTTCCAAGATACGTGAAGTTGTCGACGCGTTCGACTACTTCGCTCCCTATCCTTAGTTCAGATGTTGATGCAGGCCAGTCCTGGAGTAACAATTTACATTTAGATGGGGAGAAACGCATCCCAAACATCCTGACATTATTACTCAGTTCTAAGAGAAGACTCTGCATTTTGTCAGCGTCCTCACCAAACAGGACTATGTCATCTGCGTATTCTAAGTCGATTAGTGGACCTCCTGGTAGGTCAATTCCTGAAAATTCAGTCGAAGAGAATGTTATTTCTAGCAATAGGTCTATAATGAAGTTAAACAAAAATAGGGATAGTGGATAACCTTGTCGGACACCACTTGAGATTGTAAAATCAGATGACAGTTCGCCATAAGCTCTCACTCGACTGATAGTGTTCGAGTAAAGAGCCTTCACAAGGTTTATGTACTTCTAAGGTACACCTTTCAATGACAAACACTGCCACAGAACCTCTCGGTCTACAGAGTCAAATGCTGCTTTCAAGTCAAGAAAAACTATCATTGTTGGACGCTGATAAACATGTCTGTGCTCCAAAACCTGACGAATAATGAATGTGGTCGATGCAGCCACGACCAGGTCTGAAGCCAGCCTGATTTTCTCGTGTCTGCAGTTCACGAGTCTTAGTTAGGCGCCCGATAATTATTGAGGCTAGTATTTTAGATGCTATGTTAGTCAGACTAATCCCTCTATGGTTATCACAGGATGATTTTGGCCCCTTCTTATATATTGGGACAATAAGTGATTGTGACCAGTCGGATGGGATTGCATTCAACTCCCAGATTTTAGCCAGAATATTAGTCAACCTAATCGCTAAAATTGGACCACCATATTTAAAGACCTCTGGAGCCAATCCATCTGGACCAGCTGCTCTACCTCATTTCAGATTACTTATAGCCTTTTTAACTTCAGCTAGGGTCGGGGGGCCTACCTCAATGTTCCATTCAGACTGTCTGGAAATAGTGGGTAGTTGTGCAGTAGCTGAAGGCCAGCTAAACTGCTCCTTAAAGTGTTTCGCCCATCGTTCTAAACGTTTGGGTTGAGAGCAGTTAAGGGTTCCATCTTTTTCAGAGATCGTCTCACTTACACTTGACTTCTTAATTCCGGTTTCTTTTATTAGTCTGAAGAGTTGCCTGCTGTTGCCTACAGCCGCTGCCTTTTCTATCTATTTTGCTTTCGTTGCCAACCCCTCCTCACGATCATTCCTTAGATTGCATGATTACTGGAGGATGGACTCTAATCTGTCATAGAAACAGCAGTAACGACTGTTAGTAATTTTTATTTGAAAGTTAAGGTCAGTTAACTAACAAAGCTTCTTTAGAACAAATGGGTGGCTGAAAACATACCTCGTGGGCTACAGGAATGAAGACGAGGAAGTAACCTTAATATACACTAAGTCAGTCAGTCACAAAGTAGAACTTCGTACGTAAGTACATCAGTTCGAGTTGCCATACCACACTAACACAGAGATGCAGTTGTCCATTCAAATCCCATAGTGGTAGAAGTAGTAAGAGTATAAGCAGTAATCTGAAAGATTAGGGTTTGAAGATGTTATTCAAGGAGTATAATCCAGTGAAATAAATTTTAAAAGAGAAAAAAGAAAGGGACAAGGAGAATTCAAAAGATTAGAATTTGAGGGATCACAAATAGTGAATGCACCTTCGCCATGGCAAACGATTTTGAGTCATGTCATTCAACGTCTCTAACCATCGATTACTATAATCTCGCGGATCCCAACCAGGTAGTCTACACCTACCAACATGGATCAGTCCACTTTTCAGTGACTTCATGGATTTGTGCCACGTTTTGTTCTGGCCGCCCCTAGCTTTCTTCCAACCTACTCCTACAACATAAAACATTCCACAACTGATGAAGTTTCACTACTTCATCAATCGATTTGCCATCTTTACCTAGTATCTGTGTCCTTACTCGATGATCCCAGGATATACGAGCAATGCTTTGAAGACATCTATGATCGAATACTAGTAGCCTACGAATATCCTCTACTCTTACCGGCCATGTTTCACTGCCATAAAGCGGGACGGAACGAACTGCTGCGCAGCAAACCAGCACTTTGGTTGCTAGGCTGATCTCACCTACGCCATAAATGACGCAAGTTGGAGAAAGCTAGACGAGCCTTCTGTATCCCGTGTTCTGCCCATCGATCCAATTTCCTAGATTGCGAATGAATGATATGTCCATCTTTTTCCGAGATAGTTTCGCTGACAGTTAGGTTCCTAATACCGGTTCCTTTAACAAGTCCGAACAGTTGTCTGCTGTTACATATTGCCACTGCCATTTCCATCTCTCCTGCTTTCGCCACCCACCAATGTTCGCGATCATTACGTAGGCTTCTTGTTAGCCTGCGCTTAAATTGACTCCGCCCTTCATTATGTTCAGAGCCAGATGGGATGAGTTGTCGAGCATCTATCAGTGGGGTAGATGTTGCTGAGATCCAGTGTTTCTCTCTAACCTTATGGTTTACCGTACTAGCAGATATCACTGCTGTTTCCACAGCTTTTCAGATGTCGTTCCACGCTGCCTCGAGGTGGGCACAACTTACATGTCTGTCTAACTGTTTTTCTAGTTGTTCCTGAAATATATTCTTAGCTTGTCTATCATTAAGTACAACCCTAAGAGGTTTCCTTGCAGTGTCCTTCCTACGTCCAGTAGGACGCAAACAGATACGTGCTCGCACTAGAGCATGTTCTGGATATAAACATATGCTCCAGAATGAGCGACAGTCTTCTATCGAGCCCCTTCATCAGTGAATGATAGCGATGTGATCTAATTGGGTCCAACGTTGGGACGAATTCGGAGGTCGCCATGTCAAAAGATGTTTTTCCTTATGCTTAAAGTTAGTATTTGCAAGAAATAGGCGGTTATCTGAGCACAGCTGCAACATATGGTAGCCATTATCTGTTCTTTGAGCCATCACACCATAAGATCCACCCAGGTGTCTTTCCCTTTCGCTTAGTTTACCTACTTGAGCATTAAATTCGTCAGCCATTATTACTACATCAGAGCGCCTAAGTTTTCGGATAAGGTCGGAAAGATTCCTGTAAAACTCATCTTTTACATCATCTGAGCTGCAGTCAGTGGGAGAGTAGGCAGAGACGACGAAGAGGCAATGACGAGTTTCCCTATCTTTCCGAGTTCTTACTGATCCGTTTAGTCAGACAGCGTATGGACGACTGTCTACTGGGATCCAGTCTAAAAGAGCTAGTTCTGCCCTAAAACTCAATGCCATGCCTACGCCAGCGAGGTCACGGTAAGCAGCATCAAGGCTTCCAGATACACGCAACGTGTATCGAGTTGGTTCTTTATTATGATTAGGTGAGGTCAAATGAATGACGCTACTCGAGTATTGTATGTGCGTTTCGGAGACGCAGCACACATCGATGGTGTAAGATTCTAGAGTCCTAGCTAAGGAAGCCTGTTGTCTTATTTAGCACAATGTTCGGACGCCAAAAGCTCCGACATGTAGTTTAGAGTGTGGTTTCAGGAGACCAGGAATTATATTCCGCGTACTCGAATCGTTTGCCCTAGAGGTGCGAGGTGATAAAGGAAAGTGAGAAGGCTTAGTAGTGGAGACAAGAGTTACTAGGTGTAGGAAGGATTTGAATGTGACCAACTTGATTTCGTATGTTTTTACGGGTATGAAGGCTGATATCACTTACCGGCTGCCCACCACGTGGAAGGGTATTTCTTGATGTACGTGAAAAGAAAGTTGGATTTATGTTGGTCTTAACGACCCGGAAGCGTGATCGCAGAGTCCATGGGACAACCGCTTGAGGCCGGTCACGTACGGTCTTTTTGTGGGACGCTTTTGACGTTTTAGCTCCGTTCTTCAAAGGACTTTACGCTGGAGACGGAAATCCATGAGGTAAGGTGAGGCGTGACATTTTTAGGGTCGATCTTTTCTAACCCCTTCCGTCCTTGTGAGAAGGCAGCAGATGCTGGTTATCCGAGGGAAACACCTTACTGCTGTCACACCCCTCTACAGTCAGCAGTACGACCTCGCCCTCAGACCTTGAGTCGCTGCTTTTAGTCTTACCGTTCTCCAATCGACCTGCCTGGCATGGTAGAACCTACAGGAACATATGTTCCAGCCAATAAAGCTCGGTTGGGTCATCAAGATAGGCAAGCCCGACCACCACGTCAAGGTAGCAACTATGGTCGAGATATGCACTAACAAAGGTTTACATAATGACTATAAGAAGTGCTGAAAAGTTTATGAACACAGAAAACAGAAAGAAGAAATGACAAGTTCACTACGTAACAAATGAAAACAGACAATTGTTTAAATGTACTGGAATGAATAGTCTTGAAAAGCTGTTAGTTAGTGCAACGAGCGGAAAAAGGTGGACCACGACGATACACTTCCAGCATGTGTCTGTGAACTTAACAGTATAATTCCCCACCCATTTTGTTAATAGTCAACCATCGTGCAGTTTAGTGATTAATTCTTCCAATCGAGCGTGTTTGATAAAAACGTGGATAACTGTGGTTTGATGAGACGAAAGATTATCAAATATCGAGGTCGAATCTTGAAATATATCTCCAAATCAGTCTAATGAAACGATTCCGAGAAAACAATAAGAAACCGTCTTACGAACTTTATGAATATCAAAATATTATTCAAAACCAGTAACCTACGAGTGCAGCAGGCCAATGAGGAGGATAACCAATGCTTAGCGATTTGCAGTTAATGGAACTGGGACCTGGAGTAGTTATTGTCAAATCACCCAATGAAGTTGTGGAACCGACAACTGAAAATCCCGGGGGTGGTATTGAAGTAGATAACAAGCCTGTCAAGTCTGGAGTAACACGAGCCACCTCTTCAGCTGACATGTGTTAACTTGATACCCTCACCAATCCCAAGTATGTACACAGGTAGTAGAGCCAAAGCTCAAATGGGGCTACAAAAATAAGAAGACCTACTGAAGTTAATGAATAAATGACAAAGGTGGTAAGAGGAACTTGATTCGAACCCAAAAAAGAAATAACTGAGAAATCAAGACCTTAAAAGACGTTATTCCAATACATTTTAGCTACATAGTAAACATTAGCAGCAACTCTCCATATTATTGAACTGTCATCAGAAAAGGGATTCGACAAATACACACAAACGTCCCGAAAAATAAGTCAGAAGACCATAACACCCAGTAGTAAGTTCTATGAGGATTGTGGCTGGATGCTATTAGTTTATTCTTATTTGAAACTTAATGAGTGAATTACGAAATACCGTTTCATGAACAAATATTGAACCAGAATTTCTCTGTGTGAGATCTAGACATACTATCGGGCTGCCCAAATCTAAACAGACAGACGCCAGATTCTGCGACATAGTGGTTGATAACCAAGCGCTTTGATCACTGGCTTAACCTTGATATTTATCACGTAACATGGTTTTGTAAAGAGCTTTAAAAGATGAAGATCGAAGAATCTAAACATCGTCTTGAGACAGTGTAAGTTTCTTAAGTATATGATACATAGCTTATTAATATCAACTAATACAACAAACGGACAAAAAGTAAAGGGGATGTAAGAAAGTGTGGTTATGAACATCACACAACAATGCGACACATAACACATTCATGCTTATATGTGCAAAGCTGATAGGAATACCATCAGATTGCAACAAAAGCGTAGACTACTCGATCAAAACATGGTGGCAGTATCAAATGGAGCGTAAACTACTACTTTCACAAATGCTAATTTGACCAGTCCTGGAGAGAACATAATATCCCGGATATATTTTGAGAACATCTTTTTCATGAAGACACTTAATTTCTACATCAATATTTCCATTTCTTCAGCTTTTTCCGCTGGTTTCCTGTGATATAATGTGACGAATAGGACTAATATGTAATCATAAAGCTTTGTTTACTCTATACTCAGAATATTTAGGTTAACCTATCAGCGTAACTCAATAAAGTGTGAAGGGTGAGATAGCTTAAGATAACTAGTCCCCATCAACTTTGATTTGTAAACAATGATCAGATATTCATAAGTCTGTGTGTGTAAACATAAACAAACTCGTATAGATATATCAGAAGAGTCAGTGGATGATGCATTAGATGATACAAACTTGAGACCTGCTTGGAATAGGGATTCTAAAACCATAAAAATCTGGTCATTTCAGTGAACGAGCTACAAGGCGATCTTAGTATTTGATTTAAAATCCCATTATTAGAATTGAGATTGTATCAGACAAATATCTGTGCCACCCATGTACTACAGATATCCTGAAAAATTATACGGAACTTTCCGAACCAGGAATGGCCAAAGGTACATTTCAGAAAGACGATTTACAACCGGAAAACTTTCGGTCTCCAAGAATTAAAGCCAACAAGGGTGACGTTGAATAGTTCAACATACACCTATTTAGCATGCTGATGTCTTATCAGTGATATCTAGGCACAGTAACAAAAAAAAATTGAAACAGAAATGAATTAAAAAACGTCGCGATTTCACGTCAGTACAGCGATGAAACTGATCACAAGAGAGACATATGATTTCAAACAGTATTAACGGCAATGAGAAACGAATGCAGTCAGGAAGTGAAGAGTAATGAATATTAATACATAAAGGTTAAAAAAGGCTAAATGTAACTGAAGCAACTAATTTTGAATCTTGTCACTTGGTGTCGGATTTAAGATTTTAATTACGAAATTCTACACGACTTAGTCCAGCCATCAGTGTCTCTGAGGTTTGATTAAGTAACTTTTCTGGGCGATCCATGGGGCTTTATTCAACTATATTAATTCTTTTTTTTCTGCCAATTCTAGACAGTCCTACGTTGTTACTGTCTGTCTGTCAAGTCTAAACACTAGTCGCCGGACCTCAGAATTGTTTACATCATGTTGCTACAGAAGGCAAACAATAGTTCAAGGATAAAAATGACGGAACAGCACCACGAATCATTATTAGTTTGAAGGCTAGTTTTATCTCAGCTATAAGAGCACAATTGAACTGGATGTCAAATAAATCTAAAGCTATAGTTTAATGGTCTTTGTGACAGTAGCGTTTTACAGAAAGTAAAAGCATGAGATGACACATTACAGATCCCCTAAAAGAACATTTTCGCTCCTGTTCATTACCCTGTTAGACAATATAAGCTTTGGCTACCAGTTGGATCTATTTCTTAATCTAAAGAAGTTGGACTAGAAGCATCTTAAAAGTCGACCTACCTTGGTCAAGGTACCTTGAAGACTACACTAGACTTATGTTGATCTGAATTCTACCACAAACCTGGTGGAGTCCAACCAATTATCAGTTTGTAGCTATTACTTACGAGGTCTGAACGAAGACTAGTCAGTAGCTTTTAGGACATGAACTGATTTAAATAAGTAGTTAACAAAGACTTTGTTGAAAAAAGAAAGACGTTGAGAAAATTCAGAACATGTGCCTTAGACAACATCCATAACTCATTGGATAGTGATTCAAATATTTCTTGATTATCTGTTAACTGACCGCTATACTATCGCGGTCTGGACAAAACAGTGATTTTATAATCCCTTATCAAGCATGACAAGTTTACGGGAAACCTAGGAGTAAAATAAAATACGTGAGGCGTTGTTCTCTAAAAAATTCGGTAGATCTGTCGGTTGCTAAAGTCAAGAGAATATATCTATCAAGCAAGTCTCGATCACCAACCCTAAAAAAAGTTGAACATCTCTCGTGATCACAACTTAGGCCAATGGACAAGTCGGATTCTACATTGGGCATGAATAACAGACACAATCACATCAAGTTAGGGTTGGTTTACAACTGTACTGTCCAAAATAGGTCTTTGAAGGTAGGTATCCCCGAAAAACACAACTAGAACTCGAATTTTATTGCAGGTGTGTAGACTGGGTTCTTAATCCTCCTGATTTTGGCAATACTTTGTCACAGCACCCTATGGTACTTTATTTCCTTCGTCTTGCCACCGATACGTCTCACTTGGAGAGGTGTACAAGTAAAGACGTTACATAGGCTTTGTTGCTGCGATAGTGTGTGTTTATGAGGAATTTGATGTTAAACAACAATCATTCTCCAAAGTTTCCGTACTAACTATTTCGAAGTTTATTTAAAAGGAAAAAGGTTTCCGTCTATTCAGTTTATGTCTACGAAGATACTTATAGCATAAGTTAATAAAGTCCTGGTAAGCGAGGATTTAAACAAGAAAGGGTTATCAGTACAGTGGAAGTTTTTCGACTTGATATTGTTGGTAGAATGTGATATAACGTAGAGTATACTTCTGCAGGTATATGCTTCACTGGCAATAAACCACTCATAGGCCTAGCCCACTATACTACATTACATTAGTTTACGTAAACCATGATAGTTTGGTTACGTGTTAATATAACGATGAGTATACGGAATGAAATTACAAGGACCTGACCAATAGCACCAAATGATCGTCTTTTGAAATCAGAATCTGGAGAATATTCGTTCACGAATGCTGCCAACAACGCGGGGAACATATCGAGCTTGTACTATATACACCGTACGTTACCCGCAGTAGCTTCATACGAGGAGCAACTGGTAGTTAACAAGGAAGTGATAGAACTCGTTTTAACCTATACAGCAGAACAGACTCGTTAATGGTGTCACGAGTCTAATCAGCATCTCAGATACTTGGATTTTACCAAGACTGTATTTTAAGTACGATAAATATAAACCTAACATTAAACAGTATATGATTATCAACAAAACAAAAACTTCGAAAGGTGTGGCGTGAAAATATACACTAAAAATTCCACTAATGATTATGGAGATACTATTTAGTCATTTTCATTTTTGACAATAATTTCAAATATATATCCATCCACGATAATTCCACTGAAGCTCTAAACAAATCCGAGTAGGGTAGTCAATTCAGGCACTTATTGGATTAACTTTACGAGTGGAAACTTGTCTTCCGTCTTATATGCATAGAATTATTGAAACTGCAGTTCATACAACTGATTAGCCTTCATAACTCACAAATATGTACAGTATTTACAACCAACCCAACGCCCGTATATTCCGCAACTAGCCACAAAATGAGAGAACCTTGAAGCATTTAAACAAAAGATTGTATGTAGAAATATCACTTAATAAATCAATCACTGAACTGTTATATTTTTTCGTTGTAAGAAAAAATTGTCAGGAACTAGTATTTACATGATTAGTTTGCTACGCATGATTGTTCGTAGAGTTTGAACATCCAATTAAAAGATTGGACATAGCTTTGATTATCCCATACTTTTTCTACTCTGTGTTTAAAATTTAAGGTATTATTTTGAACTTTTGATTTTCACCATCTCGGAGGTTTTGTAAGGGATATATTTCGAAATAACTACTCAAAACTCTTATCTACCATACAGATCTTTGTTAACATTTATTTTGTCTTATATTGTTTAAATGAAGCAATGTCCAATTTGGTGATGTCTGTTTGGGAGATATGACAAGTTTAATTTAGTGCAATCTGATTGGTCGACAGCTAGCTTTAATACCGATTTGAACAAAAAGCCGCAGAGTTTTCCAGTGACTCAATTGCCGACAGCCTAAAGAGTTATTATTCAGTATTTTGTTTTTCATGCTGCTGCGTCGGAAATTACTCCTAGTATATAGACATGTCAATCAGCCAAGCTGACGCTGATGAAGAATGTCTAGTTATTCCTGCAATAACTAAAAATTATTCAGAAGTAAAAAATACGGATGGATTATCAGTGGAATTAAACAATACACCGCCCAACACAAACTCTTTTTCTCAACCCCTACGTTCCACTTTAAAAACAAAATCGAAGTTCGAATCCGAAAAAATCAGACAAAGTGATTTTAACAACTCAGAAATAAATAATAAACTTTACACAATAACTACCAGAGGACAAAAAAATCTTGATAGCTCAATACATAAGATTTGTAAATTAGACCCCATGGAGAAAAACGGTGCTATGAAAAGTCAATTCCCAACCCCTAAAAATGACACGGAAGTATGTGATTCGGACCAAACCACGCCATGTGGATCTAAAGAGCATTTAAAGAGGCCTTCTATACAACAGTTAAGAAAGTACTCAGTCGTGGATCCGAATACTCTTAAATTTGTAGAAGGTTAGGATTATTATTATTATTATTATTATTATTATTATTATTATTGTCTTGACATTCGTACGAATTATATTTTAGCCTACTTATTGTTTCATCATTTACTTTATGAATTTCACAGAACACTTTGGTTCATTATTTTTTGTTCACATTGGCATCAAAATACATTCGTGGTGCATAATTCTTATTGAGAACTTCTCGGAATTCCATATAATCGGATATCTCCATTAGGAGAGTGTAAATTACATAGATTTGTTTGAAAAAAAATTCATCTTTTCTTAAATCTGTTTCTGTTTACGAAAACTTTTCAATTTCTACTTTAAAAATCAGTAATTATCCTTTGATCATTTGCATATCAGTATGATGGTTAGATTAACAGATTTATAATTGCTCATTTTAATGTACATACATAAAGATTTCGCTTGATTTGACCATAGATAATGATATCTGGTTTTTAAGCAAAATCAATTAACATGTGAAAAATGAGATTGATTTGATTTTTTCCCATCAGTTTGATACATAAGATACATGTATATAAGTTTACCAGGATATTGTACTAGCTTGGACTAGAAACCATAAATTGTTGATACTAAAGAAAATGATCACTGACTGCTAAACTAATAATTTTTTCTGGTTAGTGTTTTTTAGCGAGTTGGCTTTCTACAGGATGGGGTCGCTAACCCTATGCCCAATCCTCCTTCTTCACCAGGGCTTGGGACCGGCAGTAGCCCCCGGAGGAGCTACAGGCGGAGTTGCTAAACTAATACACACACGTATATATTTTTTTCATTATGAAACCATATCTGTTTGGTTAACCACTGGAAATGAATACATGTGTTTCGTCTAGATCTGAAACTCTTTAGCAGCATATATTCAAAAACCTACTGGTAAACATGATACAATCAGAATATTGACATAAGTTAATTCTTTTTTGATTCTCAATGATTAATCTACTGATATTTGATTCTATTACGAAAAGTTGACATGGACACCATTTATATTAGTCTGTTAATTAATTAGAAATGCTACATAAAAATCACAGGAATTCTTTCATTACAGCCTATGCCTGTATATGGTATAGTCGAGTTAAACAAATGCTAAGTAATCTGTCACTAAATTGGTTAAAATTTATTATTTGAAGGTAAAATGAAATTTTTTGTTAGACTATTATTATTATTATTATTATTATTATTATTATATAAAAGAACTTTCGTCTAAATTAGAGTGAATCGTTTCACAGTATTTGGGCGCCAAGTTGATGTAAGACACATTAAATAGGAATAAGATATATTTGTAAAATCTCAGCGAATGAATTTGAAGTAAATCCAACGTTTCTCCTGCCAATCTGGTCCAAGCTTTTTTCAAAGAAATATATTATTCCCATTTTTAATGACTACTATATAAGTTCAGACTATCGTTAATAAAATAGAGAGATCAAATGGAACAATACACTTATTTTATTTCTTTAAAAATTTAAACCAGATCCAGATTTTCCACACTTTAAAGATAAAATACAAACAGATTGTTAGTACTTTTCTGAATTACTTCTATATGTAATTGTAATAATTCCTTGAAAAAGCTTGAATCAGATTGCCAGGCCAAACGTTGGATTTACTTCAAATTCATTCATTGAGATTTTACAAATATATTATTCCTATTTAACGTCTTATATCAACTTGGCGCCCAAATACTGTGAAACTATTCACTCTAATTTAGACGAAAGTTTTTATGTAATTGTAATAATTTGTAATATTCCATCTTTTTATTTATGACTACTATTGATTAGGTTCTATTAGTACAGTGTACATCCTGAACGAATTATCTTGATTTAGGTCTTGTCATAAGTTTTAATATATTTGAATTGTGAAATTTAAGATATACATTTCATACTATCCAGTATTTTTCACTTTAAAACACTAACTCATTATCTACTGAGTTACGGAGTTCATAATAGAAAGAATTGCACTTTCTGGATTCCAGTCCCAGAAACTGCCAAACTTTTCTTAAACTTGTGACTAAATGGCAATATCATAGCAATTAGCTGAGTATGGACATGTGGGCAATAGAAACAAATCGTTTTCAGTCCTTAGTATAAATAATGAGAGAATACAAACACCTAAAAAACCTCAGACTCACTGAACATTTTCGTGACTTTCTAGGCTCACTTTCTCGGTAGATAACAAGTAAGCATATAAAGTGAAAGGTTCCGGGTTCATATCTCAATGTAAATCCCAACGCTGAAACTCAGGTACATCCAACTGGTGAGTGTCAAAGAAGAAGTAATACACATCTAGGATTCCCCTGCTAGCGACAATCCATTTCTATTAATAGTATCATTCTTATTAGAACTTTCTAACAATAATATTTGAAATTTTTACTTGTATTACACTAATGATAATAATGGGTTTATTCATTACTATATTTCCATATTTATTGTACTGTAACTATTCCAAAAAATAAAATTACACAATAAAATACATTATTATAGTACTTATTTATCGTTTATTTTCAACCGTAAAAATTTTCAGTCATATCTAAACTGAATAATATACTTAATGCATAGTAATCCAATGTAAGAAAGGGGTTTTGTGGAGATTTTAGTGATTTTATATAGTTGAGATCATGAATTAATTAAAGCTAGACCACGATGGGAAACCTGGAAGCACTGGACGGCCACCTCGTCCTATTGTGGGACCCCTCAGTCGTGCGCATCCACTACCCCGCCACTCGAGATTCGAACACAGGACCCACCAGTCTCGCGCCAGAGCACTTAACCAATAAACCACTGAGCCAGCATTCAATGGTGTTAATGTCTAAATTCAATCAATCCAAGAAATTAAGCAACATTCACCAATATCTTCAGTGAGTTGATATCTCACAACAGACCTGGTTGAACTCCACTGGTTACTGCTTCTCACTAGAACTCATTAAAATACATTATTTTAGTACTTATATATCGTTTATTTTCAACCGTAAAAATTTTCAATCATATCTAAACTGAATAATATACTTAATGAATAATAATCCAATGGATTCACTTTCCATTTGTTCAAGAAAAAAAAGTAGAAAAATCCATTTTAACAACTATGATCTTTCTAGGTATCATTAACAAGTTTTGATTTGATAATTTTGAATAAATTGAGCATTGGGCAAATTGTTATAATCAGAAGGGGTTTTTGTGGAGATTTCAGTACTTGCATAGTTGAAAGCATTAGTCATTTGAAGCTAGACCACCAAGGAAAACCTGGAAGCACTGGACGGCCGTTTCGTCCTATTGTGGATGCGTACTGCTGAGGAGTCCTACAATAGGACGAAACGGCCCTCCAGTGCTTCCAGATTGTTATAAATAAATAATATATTTATACTATCGCCTTGACTGAAATAACATGACATTGATTTATTCAGACCTGTTTTTTATGAATTGATTGCACCTAATATTCGTATTGTTCCGTTGTACTATTTTTAACTTGAATTAATGTTAATTTGCTTATTTATTCTCTGAAGAAGTGACTTAAACTAAGTCACGAAACGTCAGAAAATCTAATTTTTCTACTCTTTGGGATATTACAAATATATTATTTATTTATTTATTTATGATCTTTCTGTTTCTATCTCAATATTTTAGTATCATGATAGATTGTAAATGTATTTTTATTATCAAAATGTCCATAAGTACATTTCATCATTTACAGTGATCATTACTTACTTACTTACGCCTGTTACCCCTCGTCAAGGAGCATAGGCCGCCCACCGATGTTCTCTATCCAACCCTGTCCCGAGCAATCCTTTCCAGTTGTTATTCATCCTTTTCATATCTGCTTATATTTCCCGGTGTAATGTGTTCTTTGGCTTTCCTCTTTTCCGCTACCTTTCAGGATTCCAATTTAGAGCTTGCTTTGTGATGCAGTTTGGTGATTTCTTTAATGTATGTCCGATCCACTTCCAACATCTTTTCCTAATTTCCTCTTCAGTTGGAAGCTGGTTTGTCCTCTCTCATAAAACGCTGTTGTTGATAGTATCCGGCCAGTGAATGTTGAGTATTTTGCGTAAACAACTGTTTATAAATACTTGTACCTTCCTGATGATGGTCGTAGTAGTTCTCCACGTTTCATCTCCATACAGTAGGACTGACTGTCTTGACGTTCGTATTGAAGACTCTCAAGAGATCATTCATTCATTAGAAATTTGATCAATCGTATTGTTTATTCAATCAAAGCCTTAATTACATATAACATTTTATATATAATGTTGTATAGATATAATACATTATTGATGCGTAAAATATTAATTTAATACCTTACTATTTAATATTATCATAGTTGAAAGCGTGTTATGGTTCAGTAAATTCTATCTATAAAATTTTTTTTTGAAAGAATACGATAATTGTTTTAAATTAAAAGAGTCTAGGTGAATTGAATTTTTCATGCATATTTGATGTACAGTCATTGAATGAACAATTCATTTTGTTTACCTGGTATTGTATTTTCTCATTGTTGTTTAAAACTACAATTGATCAGTCTTTTATTGGCATATATTCATTATTGCGCGGATTGTCTCGGTATTACCTTAAGTCATAAGTATTATAAGCAAAAATGAATAGTGGCGGTTCTAAATATCAATAGGAAGATTTAAGCAAACAATACCAGGTGAATTTAAACTTCATTTCATTGGACAAATAGGTGATTGTCAGGACTCAGTAGCTAAGTGGATAACGTGATGGTGTTTGGAGCGGATGACACTGGGTTCGAGTTCCAGAGTGAACATCAACTCTGGGATTCAGTTACATCCAGATAACAAGTCCCAAATGGGACGAAACGCGCATTCTGAATTTCACTGCTAGCCACCATCCATCTTTGCTTATAATTAATTTCGTTGTTTTCATATGAATATACAAAACATAATGCTTAATTTCATGTTAATTATGTAAAATTGCAACAAATTCCTCACTCATAACTACTTTACTGTATTATGAATATTGGGAATAAACGGATAAAAAGTCTTTCAGC